GGTCCCTTCCAACTCTGACATTCTATGATTCTATGAACGCCAGAGCCTCGTCACCCGCAGCTTGGAAAGGTCCCCAGACCCCATTGTCTTAGACTGCAGGAAGAGGTGGTTTGTCCATGGATGTACAGGCTGTCTTGGCAGGGCAGCTCAGCTGCAGTCCCTGCACACAGCTGGGGGTGTGTGTCCTGGGTCAGGAGAAGTCGGTGTCCAGTCCTGTGGGGCTGTGCTCCTGGCTCATACCTCCAGCACTCACTGCTGCCCCTCCATTACCAGCTGCACTGTTCAGCCAGCCCCAGGCCTCAGACAGGTCACTGTCATACCTCCCCACCCCCACCCCCCGCAAGCCTTCAAACTGGGATATAGTGCACCAGTGCCAATCAGAGTGCACTAGTGTAAATTCTGTCTATACTAAGGGTTTGCACCAGTGCCTAAAACACCAGTGCGGCAGAGACCTTGAGTACCCAAAACAGCAATACTGTGGCACTAGAACTGGGATCTATTTCTAGCTGTCATGGATCGCCTGGGTGACCTTGGACACGTCAATATTTCTCCTCCCAAATTTAGTCTCTTTACAGCTGCGCAGTCACTGGGGTCTCCTCTCTCTCCAGAGCTGCTCACCACTCAAATCTGTGTGGTGTCCCCAGAGCTAAGGTGATTCAGCTCTGGAATAGTCTTACAAGGGTGGCTGTGGAGTCTCTTTCCCTGGAAGTTTTTAAGAACAGGTAGGACAAACCTCTGTCGGAGACAATCTACATATACTTGGTCCTGCATCAGTAGAGAGAGCTGGACTTGATAACATCTTGAGGTCCTGTCCAGCACTACATTTCTATGATGCTATGAAATATATACGTATGAAACACAACATACAGAATAAACTACAACATGTCAGCCAATTCAGAGAAAAAACAACAACAACAAAAACCTCAACACAGCATAAAATGACAATACTAAGGAAAATACAATGCTAACTAACACAACCTAGGACAATATTACACAATGAAAAAGAGCTCATCTCAAATCAACACAACACAGGCACCAAACATGCTGAGGCAAAACAATGCACCATAAAACTATGCAACACAACATGGTGCAATCACAGTTCCAAATGGCACCATGCAAAAAAGCTCAGCATAGAACAGGACACAGCACAAAAGAGAATTATTTCAGTGTAGGCATGGAAGGGATCCTGAGAGGTCGTATACTCAAACCTCCTGTGATGAGTCAGGACCAAGTATCCCTAGACATTCCCAGACTGGTGCATCTCTAACCTGATCTTAAAGACCTCCAGTGAAGGAAATTCCACAACCTCCCTTGGAAGCCAATGCAATGCAAACACTCAGACCAAAACAACGCTATACACTCACAAGCTTGGCTTGGGATTAAGGGGAGAGGCAAGAATTCAAACAATCTGGGTTCAGTTTCCAGTTTTGCCCCAAATTCTTCATGCAAACTTGAGCAAATTACTTCAGCTCTTTGAGCTTCAGTTTCCCCATCTGTAAAATGGAGAGCAGCCTCCCACCATTTCCCTATTTAGCCTCTGAGCTTTTTGGAGCAAGGACTCTGTCACTGTGGGCATGTCTACACTGCAGTTAGACACCGATGGCCGGCTCGTGCCTTCTGACTTGGGCTCACACGGCTCAGGCTACAGGGCTGTTTAATTGTGGTGTCGATGTTCCAGCTTTGGCTGCAGCCCAAGGTCTGGCACCCTCCCACCTTGCAGGGTCCTACAGCCTGGCTCCAGCCCGAGCCCAGACATCTACACTGCAATTAAACAGCCCCTTTGCCTGAGCCCTGTGAGCCTGAGTCAGCTGGCATGGGCCAGCTGTGGGTTCTTCATGGCAGGGTAGAGATACCCTTGGTGTCTGTTCAGCACCTGTCACAACGGGGACCCTGATCTTGGTCAGTGTCTGTGCAGAGCCCTGCACAACAAAGTCCCTGTTCTCTGTAGGCTTCTGTGCAGTTCCTGGCACAACCAGTGCCCCAAACTCGGTCAGGATTTGTGCAGTGCCTGGCACACTGGGGGACATGATCTCAGGCAAGGCCTGAGTCATGCACAGTATGATAAGAGCCCTGATCTTAGTCAGACACCTGGGGAGAAAAGCGGGAAGATTTTCAAGAATTTGATGTCAGTATTTCAGAACTGAGGAGAAAATGGGGCACAAACTAAACATTTGCCAATATAAGGGATAAGCACCAAGATATGGGGAGATTTTATGTCACCATTCAACCGTTCAAGAGAAAAGATGGGAAATTTGAAGGGATTATACAGAGATATTGAATCAACAATAGAATGGGATGGATTCTTCTTGCCTCACATTCACATGGCCCGCAGAGCCCTGGGTGATGTCGCTTTCACAGGGGAAAGGAGTGGGGCTGGAGTCAGAAGGTCACTGGCTGTGGGTAGGGGCTGGCTGTGGGGTTTGGGAATGTGACTAGCAGTAGGTGGGGGGCTGCTGGGTTGGGCAGGGTGGGGGAGGGGAAGTAGCTGGGACTGGGCAGTCTCCATGGGGGACACTTGCTCCTCCCTTCCCTTCCTGGGCCTTTCCATGCCCTGTTGCCAGCAGAGAGTGGCCCCCCCCCGGCCCAGCCCAGCCCAGCGGTGTCCCTGTCTCAGGGCTCTCCCAGCCTCTGCCCATTAACCCTCTTCCCAGTTCAGAAATCACTCAGGGGAACCATTTCCCACCTAAACAAGGACAAATCACTGCAGGTAAAAATGGGGGGAAAACACCCCAAACCTGAGATTTGAACTGGACATTGGCAAAGAGGACAGAAAATGGGACACAATCGGGGGAGGAGAACACAGACCTTCTCAGGGATTTAAGGGAAGGGGGGGGGGTCACCCTGGATGTTGTTCGTTGCTCTCTAGAGAGAAAGGGGGCAGGGCTGGAGAGGATGGGGGGGTCCCCACGGGAGGGGGCAGCGGTAAATCCGAGGGGATCTCAGCCCCTCCTTCCTCTCCCCGCTCCTCGGGGGGTCACCTGCTCTTCTTACCCCCCAAATGTCCGGGCTGCACAGACATTTTCCATCCGCCCCTTTCCCAGGTCTCCCCCCCCAGCCCCACGCAGGGACCACAGTGGGGCCGGTTCCCTCTCCCCAGACCCCACCCCGTGGTGCCCCAGGGCAGAGCCTGGCCGGGCCCGGGGGCGTTGGGCTCCTGCGGGGACAGCAGCTCCGAGCCCCCCGCGGGCGCTGCCCCCAGGGAGCAGATCCCGGCGCTGCGAGATGCCGGGTCCCCCCCACGGACACTGGGGCAGAGTCACCGCCCGGCCCCGCCCCCGGGGCTCGCTCCGGTACCTGGAGGCTGCAGCTCCGCAGCGGGCGGGCAGAGCCCGGGCAGCCCCAGTAGGAGCAGGGCCCAGGCCGAGCAGTTAATAAAGGTCTCTCTCCCGCCGCGATCTGCGCATGCCCAGAGTTCCAACGGCACAAAACCCTTCTCCGGCCCCGCGCGACCCAGGCAGAACCGCAGGGCTCCGCGCGCGTTCGCAGCCCTGCTCCGGCTCCACCTCCCCCGCCTGACGTCACTTCTGCTCCCGAGAGAGTTAGGAACTACATCTCCCAGCCTGCCCCGAGGGCGCTTCCGCCCTCTTCATGTCAGGTAAAAGGGCGGGCCCTGGAGTCAGCCTAATCCTCCCCCTGCCTCTCATTCCCTTCCTCGCAGAGACTCCCCGGTCCCGTGCCCCTTTCCCCGGAGAGACTCCCCGGTCCCAAGCACCGGCGCCTTCCCGCTTCTCAGGCGAACTGTCCTGTCCCCGCCTTCACCCCCCGGGTCCGACCGGCCCCTACTGCGCCGCGCCCCCGGGTGCGACCTGCCACCCCCGAACCCGCGCCCCTCCCCGCCCGGCGCCTCTCAGACCCGGTGTGAATTCCCGCTTCTAAGGGGAACTCTCGTGTCCCGGGGCGGGCCCCCCCGCTCCGACCGCCTCCACCTGGGTCCGAGTGGTTCCCCCCCCCCGGACAGAATGGGGATAAAGCCATGGAGCAGGAGATATCGATAATATCTATTGATGACACATGATCCATTTCAATGGGTTCTATTGCTTAACAGTGTGATTAAACCTGTGATTATTCGCAGTTCATTTCTTTCAGGTAACTGCCTAAGTTAACGCCGATGAACTGGCAGCCCTAGTTTTGAATGTTTCTGTCCCATGCAGGACAGTCTAGAACAGAGATGGGCAAACCACATCTGGCCCGCGGGACCGTCCTGCCTGGCCCCTGAGCTCCCGGCTGGGGACGAGAGCCCCCAGACCCTCCCCTGCTGTCTCCCCTCCCCTGCCGTGAGGGGGCTGCACAGCAGGGGCAGGGGAGAGCAGGGAGGGAGGCTCACCTGCAGCCTCAGGGGAGCAGGCGGGTGGTGGGAACGCGGCTGGAAGACAGGAAGACCGGGCGGCCACGCAGCCAGCCGGAGAGAAGTGGCGCTTTGAAGGAGAAACTGCCACTTCTCTCCGGCTGCACCTGCTCCTCCTGAGTCCTCCGCCCATGTTAGCAGGGCCACATTCTGAAAGGGACTTTAGGGGCAGGTCCCAGGGGGCCTGTCAGGGAGCGTGGATAGGGGTCAGGCAGTGAGGGAGTGGGCGGGGTTGGATGGGGTGGGGTCCAGGGGGGTGGTTAGGGGCAGGGGGTCCCAGGAAGGGGTGATCAGGAGACAAGGAGTGGGGAGGTTGGATGGGTCGGGGGTTCTGAGGGGGGCAGTCAGGGGGCAGAAAGTGGGAGGGGGCAGTTAGGGTTTGGGGAGGCACACCCTTCCCTACCCGGCCCTCCATACACTTTTGGAACCCCGATGTGGCCCTCAGGCCAAAAAGTTTGCCCATCCCTGGTCTAGAATATCCCTGTGCAGGGAACAAGCCAGGGGGGAATCGTGCTGTAAAATTATTTCCTCTTCTAACATGTCTCCAATTGTCCCTTTTGCCCGAACAGGATGCAGCGTTAGATCCATGTTTTCCTCCAGCTCATTCCATCCTTCCAGTGACCCAGGAAGGGAAATGGCTGCAGTGGAGCCGGTTGAGGTAGGGATTATCCGGGAGTTGCTGGTGGGTTCCTGTTGGAGAGAGAAGGGCAGTAAATATACAGGAGGTGGGCACTTCGGGGGGGATTGGTGGTGGGAGGGATTTAGGAAACACTCACGGTGGAGAAATGGAAGGGGGCAAGGTGATGACAAACCTGTTGGGATTTGTTTACTGTGAGGCCTAGATCCTAGCAACACACCCATGGAGTTTGTGGGTGGGAATATCCTAATTTGACAAACAGGAAGCAACCACCCTGGACTGAGCTGAGAAAACTGACCAGACTCCAATACTGGAGTCTGAACCTATTAGCTGGAGGCTGATGTGAGATATAAAGGGGAACCCACCAGTGAGGCCCAGGGAAGATCCCCCATCCCCTCCCATCCGCCTGCTGGCAATGGAGAGGGTGTTCTGATTTCCACCAGGGAGTTGTCCCTGGGCCCTGCTGGAGGCTCCATCTCCTGTATCAGCCTCTGACTAGTAGGTGAGTGATGAATGTGAGGACCCCTGCCCCCTCTGTCTGCTGGGAAGGGTGAGGGTCTCTCTCTTTCTCCCCTCAGCCTGATGCCTCCTGGCTGCTCTGATGGGATGGGGTGGGACTATGCTGACAGCTGCCTCCCAGAGCTTCCATGTGATTGGCCCTCCTCCCTTGTGAACGATGGGGTTGTCAGCAGGCTCTTGCTTTTTCAGGGGCTGGTGACCTTCAAGGAGGTGGCTGTGTATTTCACCAAGGAAGGCTTGGCTCTGCTGGACCCGGGTCAGAGAACCCTCTACAGAGCCATCATGCAGGAGAACGATGAGACTGTGACCTTGCTGGGTAAAGATTCCTGTCCCCTCAGTTATTAGAAGGGCAAATGAAGAGTTGAGGTTCACATCACTCCCACAATGTAACCTTAACTCTGCCCTGTTTCAGCAACACCCTAACAGGCCAATGACAAACACAGCCTGCCCACGACAGAACACTTTGGGAACAGAGCACAAGTGGGGTATAGCACAATGTCGAACACCTTCTCTTTGCTAAGGCAAAACTTGGAGTTAGGTCCAGTGCAGAGAATAGAAGCTACCTACCTCTGGCCTGCACTCAAACACTGAGCCTACTGCACACAATCCAGCTCAGACTTTTACAAGGTTACCACCCTATTAGTCTTGCACTGAGGATTCCTTCTGAGTCATTGCCTTCGCTTACCCCCTACTGAGTCCTGGAGACCACTAGCATGTATGCCTGTCAGCCTGCTGACAGTTCTCATGGTAAGAACACACCCTTGTGCACCTTTATTGACAAACCTACAACATGCAGCACTGAAATGAGGAATACCGGTTCCTTCAAGTTTCACATGCACCTCTCTTCGTGTCACAATCCCCGCTCCGCCCAGCTGCTCCAACTTTAAACAGTGGAGAGGGACAGGTTCCCACCCTCTCTCTTGATGCCCTCAATCAGCACAGGCTAAGTACAGTTCTACTGGCCTTTACTCATACACTAAGGCTACATCTTCACTACCCGCCTACATCTTCACTAGCCGAGCCGCGCCGCGGG